ATCTATCTATCTATCTATCTATCTATCTATCTATCTATCTATCTATCTATCTATCTAAGCTCTATATCCGTGCTTCACTATGAAACTATGTGGTTGGGCTTAGTTTTTGGAGAGGAAAATAAGGGGGGGGGGAATTCTGCCTCTGCCTACCAGCATTCATCGGTATTCATCTGGCTAGCGCCCTGTCAGTGTGTGTGTGACAGTTAAGGGCTGTTTGGAAAGTGAAACAGTATTTGCTATGTGAGCAAGAAGGAGACAGCAAGGAGCCTGGGCGTGGCTTAGCTCAACTGTTCTGTACTAAAGCTGCTTGGTGCTCTGAAACTGAACTCCTCTGCTTGTGTTTTGCATTTGGAACATATTATCTTTCAGGTAGGGAGGGGGGAGTAGAACTCCTTAGCATCAGAGCGTGTTAATAATAATAATATATGAAATACTAATACTCTGATGGTCATTTCGAAAAATCCTTTCTTATTGAGCACCAAGAAGCCAAGAGGAACACATGTGCCAAATTTCAAGTTGCAGTAGAGACTTTGGGGAAAGGGATGCTCCTAAATGAAAGATGGTATATACCAGTGGTCCCCAACCTTTTTTATGCCGCGGCCCGGTACCGGCATCAACTGGGCGCCGCCATCTTGTTTTGATGAAAAAGTGCTTCCGGTGAGCTTTTTACCCGGAAAAGCTCACCGGAAGCACTTTTTCATCAAAACAAGATGGTGGCGCCCAGCAAACCATCGGCCCGGTAGGATTTGTTCCACGGACCGGTACCGGTCCGTGGACCGGTGGTTGGGGACCCCTGGTATATACAGTAAATCTAACAAGCAAAGAAATAAAAAAATAGAAACAATCTGGTTAGCTTAAACGTATTTGGCCTGAACTAGTTCTGAGATAGTTGTAGGTAGTCCTCAACCTAGCAACCATTCAGATCTGGAAAAACTCCTTCTGACCTGGATTCTAATTTCCAACATCCGTCCCACAGTAACAGTCACATAACCACATTTTGCGTACCTAGCAACAGGCCAACATTTATGGCCATTTGCATCCTTGATCGTATAACCATGATTTATGTTGTAGGAAATGAGAGTTAACTTCCAGTTTGTAGCAAAAAAATGCTTGCTGCATTTGCTGTATGCAGATTCAGTTATGATGATAAGTCGGGATCTACCTTTATATAGATCCAATCACTCATCCTGCAGGTTAAATCATATTGTAAGACAGACTGTAGATATTGTTTTTATGTATGTTTTCTTAATGTATGTTTTTATGTACTATATACTATATATATATATATACTATATATACTATATATATAGTACTATATATTTTCTTTTATGTATGTTTTTATGTACTATATACATATTCAATAACTGCACCCCTTTCCTGCAGAGCAAAGTGATATGGTCCTTCTTTCTGTCCTCACTACACTTTACAGGTAGTCCTCGACTTACAACAGTTCATTTAGCGACCGTTCAAAGTTACAACGGCAGTGAAAAAAGTGATTTATGACCGTTTTTCACACTTATGACCGTTGCAGCATCCTCATGGTCACGTGATTTGCATTTGGATGCTTGACAACTGACTCACATTTATGACCGTTGCTGTGTCCCAGAGTCATGCGATCCCCTTTTTCGACCTTCTGACTAGCAAAGTCAATGGGGAAGCCAGATTCACTTAACAACCGCATGACTAACTTATCAACTGCAGTGATTCACTTAACAACTGGGACAAGAAAGGTTGTAAAATGGGGCAAAACTTACTTAACAAATTTCTCACTGAGCAACATACATTTTGGGCTCAATTTGTGGTCGTAAGTCGAGGACAACCTGTACCTTGTGTGTAGGTTGTCATGCAGATAAACTCACCTATCCTTCAATAAACCAGACCATCTATGTAGATTTGGACCAATGGTGTGTTTTAAAAAAACTGGTTTGGTGGGTGTGGCTTAGTGGGCGCGCTTTGTGTGCATGCACATACTTTGTGTGCATGCATGCGGCAAACACGCACTTTGCACAGGCGCAGAGGCTTTCTGACTCACCTGCAAGCCTGCACTCTCCCTGTCCCTTCAGCAGCTGATGCGCGGCAATCTGTGCCACGCAAAGGAGCTGCGCTTCAAAAGCAGGGAATAAAGGAGACTCGGTCCAGTCTCCGCTGCTCATCAGCGCTACTGGCTCGGCAGAACCAGGCTGAACCGGTAGAATACCACCACTGATCTTGACGCTGTCAGGATTCTGGCAGTTACCCCAATTAAATCATGAGTCTCGAGCCATACTTCCAAAACTTCAAAAGGATTTATTAAAGGAACAGGATGGTGAAACTGGGAGAAAAATAGAAATGCATACAATAAGAACCCGAATACAAAATAAACAGTGTTGAGCTGCTGATGAGCATAACAATTAACAAATACAGATACAGTTCAAATTTCACCAGCAATGCTATGTATATGGGATGTAGATTTTTGTCCTTCGATGAACATGCGCCACAGATTAGGCTGGATCCTTCCAGGTGATTTTGCTTCCTCAGACTGTTAAAAAATGGAGACTGGCTTCTCAGGCTGTTCCTAGGTTGTTGTTTTTTCCCCAGAATGAGGGAGGGTGGGAGGATGAGAATTTTTCTGTAGGATCAAAACAATACTAAAAACCAACTTTCTAAACAACGATAGGTTTTATCTTTGGCCACTAGATGGCGCTCAATACATGTTTAGAGAACAATAACAGCATACAGACAGCACACAAACTCTGCTGAAAGCAGAACAATCCTTACTATTTAGGACTCTGCTACTCTGAGCAATCTTTTGGGAAACGGAGAGATGGGAATGGGAAGATTTCTGTTCTAGAGCGGCGGTAGAGATTCAGACAGACACAGGCTCAACGTTAACAGACTTTATTCTAGCGAATAAAGGGTCGCCGCGGCTGCCGAGGCTAACTGGCAGTCAGCTGGCGGCGACAGCTGATGCCGTTTGACAGCTCCTTTTATAGCCGGCTGTCAAACGGCATCAACCAATGGGAGCGGTCGGCGCTCCCGTGCAGGCGGCGGACCAGAGTGAGGACCGCCGTCAGTCTTTGAACACAGCAATTTCATTCATAAACATTGGCAGGGATAGATGACATTTGGCTTCTGCCTCTGAGAGCTGAGAGTTGCAACCAAGATGAATTGCAGCCCAGGGTGTGGTGTCACTGCACAGTTGACACAAAAGGGAAGTTATACAATGACATCATGATGCACATGGTGTCTTTGTGGATTGTACCAGATGCCTACAAATTTCTCTCAGTTTGCCTCTGCTAAAACAGGTATGCCAGGTTTTTCAACTGGGGCAATACCTGCAAAAGCTATTTGACTAAAATGATCAGTGACATAAATGAAATATGTAAAAACAAAGCAGAATGGGTTGCTGGGAAATGCTTGCCAAGAATTTGAGACCAAGAGTAGCATCAGCTGTCTGCTGTTTCTTAACCTTGGTAACTTTAAGATGTGTGGACTCAGCTCCATCCTTGCTGGATAATTTTGGGAATTAAAATGCACACATCTTAAAAGTTGCCAAGGTTGAGAAACA